AGATGTATTTGTGTAGGTACTACACCAGTGCTTCTGTTAAATTCTTTTTCTACAAAGAAGATGTTACTTGAGCGCTTCATGTACAGGGTGCGTATTTTTCTGAAAAGAGTATGCTCTAAAAGCAGTAGTTTTTAGTGTATATTTTATGTCTACAGTTTAGTTTAGCTTAAAAGTTTTCTAATGCTTTGCGTTTGTAACCATTTTTCAGTTAACTGAACACATATACATACACAAAATGGCCAACCTTTAGAAATTCTTTATGTATTTTAAAACAGTTGTCTTTCCAGTCTAATTTGGGCCTTCTTTAAAATGCAACTAAAATCTAACCTTAGATATGGAAAGTCAGCTCTCAAGGAAAGCTTATTTTAGAATATCAGCAAAGAAATAAATATTTGCTTTCGAGAGACCTTAATTCTCATTAATGTGAAATTAATGTAGATGATTTGAGTGTATTCTCATGTGTGAGAAATGTGTCCCTTACATGTTTCTCTGCTGAGTCTTATTAACTACTCACCTGTAGTATCCAAGTGCAAAATAAATATACACTGATGAGAGAAAGTTTAAAAGATCAGTAATGTCTAGGTATAATTATGAAAAAAAGTTTGATCTTGTGGACACTCTGAAAGGGTCTCAGAGATTTCTTGGTCCCTGGACCACACTTTGATTACTCTCTTATATTTTCTGGTTTATCTGTGTATGAAAGTAGCACTCTGAAATATTAGCTATTTGTATGTGGGCAGAACTTAATAGGAAAATGGGGAAAGAGTGCTGCATTGAGCAGAAGTATAACTGAAGGGTTTTGGTTTTGTCATCAAACAGCAATTATCCTTCTAGTGTCTTCCTGTTCACCTCAAACATTCTCAGTGGCCAACAAGCTTATTTTCCAAGACACATCATGAGTGACACCTCCTCCTCCCCAAATTCCAGTAGCACAGAAAAAGTGTTATGGATGAAGGGAATGTATCCAGCACCCCTCCTCTACTTCTCCAGCTGGGAAGGGAAGGAAAGGGAAATAAAATTTAATGAGCACTTTTACTATGTGCCAGGTGCTTTACATATGTTATTTCATTTTAATCCCAAAACAACCCTAGGAGGTATTTCTAGCCACATATTGCACACAAATAGAGCCAGACTCGGAGATGTTAAATAGCGTGTCAGAGCGCTCAGCGTTTAAGTGACAGAACCTGAATCAAGTCAAAGTCTCTTTATTACCACGGCCTATACAATACTGTGCCTTGGTTTCTGCTGTTTTTCTTCTGTTCCTGCAGATTGATAATATGAATATTAATGTTTTATTGGGCTCAGTGGTGACATGACAAAACAAATTTGGCTGCCCAGTGAGGTTTGCTCTCATGGGATTAACTATCTTTGACAGATTATATTTTGTAAAGTCAAATATATTTGTAAGAAAAGGTTTAGATAATTTCTTCGGGTTTAGTTCTTTGAAAACAGTTAATTATCCATGTTTTATCATAGAGTGGAAGATTGCTTCTTTTTGTGTCCTCAGTTTTGTCATCTAGAACAGCCAACTATCCCAGAGGAAATTTTGCCTAAAACAGCTGGTTGTGAGGGTTTGTCAGAACTCTAGAAAGGCAAAATCCATGCTCAGGAACATTATTATGTTTTAGGTCACTCAGTACCTAAGAGATAAGACTGGTTGTGGGTAGAGAGGAGGGTTTCGGGGAAAGATGTCTTACAGGCCTTTAGGGATTGTTGAGAGAGGAATATTCTCCTTGCTTTTGTGTGTGCTCTGGTATGATTTAGGACCACAGAGAGTGCATTGGTGGAATTTCAAAGAAGGATTTTCAAATTGGAGAAGCCAAAATACATGACTATACTGCCCTGAAGTAAGGCTTAATGGAATTCCTATATATTGAATCAATATTGCATAGTCTTAAAAAGTAATATATCAGCTGTCCTTTACGTGTATTTAATTTTCCTGTATTTAAAGTAAAGCTGCTCGTTTCTAGCAACATCAACCATCCCAACTTAAAAGTAAGGGGGATGTCCTCCCCCCCAACAAAAAACACACAAACCCAAGTAGGTCTCTAAGTATTAAATCCCTGCCACAAAGCTAGTCAAATCAGAGGTGCAGCTAACCTGGGGGCAAAGAATTTTCTATGAAAAAGGCTAGCAGTATAGAAGAGGAGTCATTGTGATAGCTAATAATGGAGAAAAGTAACAAAAGGCCCACAAAAAAAGAGTACTGCCATTTGCAGTAGTCTTTTATAGGGAGTGCTGCCCTGCTCACTTGGTAACACCCTAAATGGTCAGCTGATTGGGGCGGCAGGCAGAGTAGAATTTACAACATAGAAATATCTCCCCCAAAATGGTTGGAATTCTTAAAGGAGTTTGGGTACATGAAAGATAATCTAGAATTACTTGGAAAATGAATATTCATGAAATGCCTTAATCTTTGATGATATCAGATTAATGAAGTGTTAACTCTGTGAGTCATGTATATGTTTGTGTCCTCACATGTTTTGTAAATTGTTTGGCGGTCACAATATTTTATAGTTTGCTTTGCTTTTTGAAAATTTTTACGAGAGTAGTTAATGTTTAATTTAATGAAATTGGAGAATAAATTGTATGTGATATCAGGATTCAATGTACTTCCTTCCGACTTGCACAGATTACATGAATGAAGAGTCTTTTGCTAAACTTTCTGAGGACTTCATCAGTTTTCCTAAGGGCCTCTTCTTTGATAGTTCAGTCAGTCTCTTGAAGTACTTGTTCAGTTATAGCCTTAATGACTATTTAAATACTAACTAGTCTAACTCTTGGGTCCTCAGTTGTCTTGGCTTTCTTTGCTTGTGTGTGATAGAAGTTCTCCAGTATCACTTTTATGGAGAGTCAAAGACGTTGCTTTGGTGGTCAAGAAGAGACATGGTAGTGTTAACTTGGGAGAGATCAATTTTATAAATAGGTAGTTTATGACAACTGTTTTCTTGTAGTAATAACTGCTTTCTTTGTACACATATATATGTGACAGATGCAAAACAGATTTCTTGCACTAAACATACAATATATTCTTGGGAACTTTCTGGACTCTTACGATCCTTTGCTTTTTGTTTTTGTCCTAATCTGTGCCTGTCCAGAAGTTCTAGTTATTGTGGGCTTATAGTGCTTCTCTTCTATAAGAAGGCAGGGCTGCCCTTATTCTTCATTTTGAAAGATTCCTGGTATTTGCTTTTTAGAGACTTTTTCCTCATGGGAAAATAGATCTAAAATTTTTAAATGTGATTACATTTACTATGTATCTTTTCTTTAATTGTGGTTTTCCAAAAACCTTCTTAACTAAAAGAGATAAAGGAGACTGGAATATCTATTCTGAAACTCTGGAAGAAAACCAAAATGGGTAATCTCTATAGAAGAAAACCAAAGGCTATCCATCTTATTACAGTTCTTGAAATTTCTTACTGCGAAACAATAATAGTAACTTGTTTTTAGGAAATTCTTTTAAAATTAACTAATTTGGTAAAAATTATTATGGCACGTTTCTCTTTCCACCAAGTGTTGCTGTATATGAATGATCAAAATCAAATTATATTATTCTGGAAGATTTCTTTAAGTTTAATATTCAGTGTTTCTTCCACCTCTCTGGCCTGATTACCCTCCCCCAAAGAAGAAGACAATAAGTGGGGTTCAGATGCCCACATTGAACTCTAGGTGTCAGCTAACCATCATTCTTATGTCACGTCTCTGCAGCCTGCCACAGTTCCCACATGGTGAAGAACCTTTGGGAATCTGAAGAAATGGTGGCAGGCTTGGTGAATTTTATTCAAGTCATATAGATAGTGGAAGGCTGAGAGCAAGCCAAGGTCTTTATTTTGTAGCTTCAAGTTTCTGTCAGGCACTTGAAATCCTTAGATAATCAATGTGCCTAGAGGTTCCCTAAGGGATCCCCTTAAGGTTTACCCCTGGCCTCTGACTGTGGCTTTCAGGGAGGGAAGATGGAACTGAATGGGTGTGCTCAAAAGAATTCAGGATAACCTTCCAAACACACTTAGGGAAGAGGTGTGAGGAGGATTTGCCTCCTGCCCAAACATGCCAGGACTGACTGTTGACAGTGGTGGTGGAAGGCAATTTTCAGTTGGCTGTATGCTGTAGCTAGGGCTTTCCGAAAGAGAGGTGTTGTCTGTGTGGGGTGACTGTTTCATCTCTGGAACACTGTTAGCAGTGCCCATGTGGCTGTTGGTCTGGGAGATTGTGGAGGATTCCTGTGTGGCTCTAAGTTTAAGGTACAAGGCCTCTAAGGCCCCTTGCCACTTGGTGATTTTATGTGCCTGTGTGTGTGCACGTGCCTGTCCTCAAGCAAGAATATTGAACCTACTCCTGTACCAGCTTTAATTCTGTATGTGGAAGAAAATAATCATTGTTAGCTACTTAGATGTGGTATGCATGAGAGTTGGTGGGCTTTAGCAGACACATCGCTATATTGGGCGATATGGTATGCATGCTACAGAAAGGATTAATTAAAACTTTCTTCCTGGTCAATGCTTGTGAAAAGGAGCCCCCTCAGAGTTACAGACTTGGCTGAAGGAGACTAATGACCACCTGAAATAAAGATGGGAGGGAGGAGTTTGTTGAGAAGAAAGCTGAGCTGGCCTACTCTTAAAAAAGTTTTTAAAAAAGGAAGAAAACCACTGATCTAGGGAATTTTTATCACGTATACCACAGATTCAGAGTAGAGTAATGATGGCTTATTAGTGCTTTGATCTAACAATTTCCTATAGGAATGGTGGTGGTATATGTGATAAGTGTTTTCATATGGCTGTGTAAAATACTTCAGATGTCTGTTGAATACCATTTATTTTTTACCTTTAAGGTGTGGGAATGAGTGGGGTGAGGTTTGAGTGGCTTGAATGTTTTTACTTGAAAATAAAAGCTGTCATGTTTTTTTCTTGCTGCCCTCAAGTACTACACATTTCAAAGAATTAGAGTATTTCATAGCATCTGAATGTAGAAGCTAAATTCTCTCCTCCCTTTCTTTCATTTAGGTTTCCACTTGAGCGGCACAGTGACCGAACCTGCAATACAATCGGAGCCAGAAACTGTTTGCAATGTGGCCATCAGCTTTGATCGTTGCAAGATTACCTCAGTGACCTGCAGCTGTGGAAACAAGGACATATTTTATTGTGCCCATGTTGTGGCATTGTCTTTATACCGTATCCGCAAGCCAGATCAGGTCAAATTGCATCTTCCCATTTCAGAGACTCTCTTTCAAATGAATAGAGACCAGCTACAAAAGTTTGTACAGTATTTGATCACAGTGCACCACACAGAAGTTTTGCCAACTGCTCAAAAATTAGCAGATGAAATTCTATCCCAGAATTCAGAAATTAACCAAGTTCATGGTGAGTATTCGTTCATTCTGTAGATTTCTTCTGTTTACAAGTTCAACCCTTCATAAAAAGAATTAAACGTGAGTTAGGTCATCAGCATTGTTCCTAGGTAGCTGAGAGAATTCTGAGTTTTGTGTTCTAAAACATCTTTTTCTAGGTGTTTTGTGCATTATGCTCGCTACCACACCTTTCATGCTTAGAAAATTCTCTCATTTGTTAAAGCTTGGCTCTTATACTTTCATATTTGGTAAAATTTCATCAAATACTAGATATTAGTTGTTGAAAATACTTATTTAGTCATTTAATTTACCCATGTCAGCTGTTATCAGTAAACTGACTTGCGCACTCAGAATTTTTTTTATTTTTTAAAATTTATTTTTCAAGGCAGAAAGTTTGTGATAGAATGTCTCAAATAAAGAAAATAAATTATTCTTAGAAAAATAATACAACTTTTTTTAGAGAGATTAGGATATGGCTATCGTGTGTAAGAAATCCCCAAAAGGTTTTCTTTTAAATCTTTCATACATTAAACATGTGATCTCATTTATTTGTAAACAAATATATCAACTTTTTATTCTGTGCATTGCAAATATGTTGACTCACAAGAATATATGTGCAGCTTTTCAGAAATAAACACATCACCTGTTTCATATATAGTACATTAGTATAGGATAAATAATGTTAAATTATAGGTTGCCGTGCTTTTAAAATATTTAGACATAATTTTTAAAATTTTAAAAATATGTTGAAGACTGTGACAGTCTTGACTAAGCAGCTCAGGAGCCTAGCATTTTTACATTTCTTTAATTGTATTGATAAACAGGGCCAGTCAGTCATTCAACCCTATTGTTTAAGGTTTTTTTCTAAGTCATTACTTGATATAGCAAATATAAGTGTTTAAGGCAAGCAGTTGGAGATCATTTCTTAAAAACATTTTAAATTGTGAGATATAACATAAAGAAAAGTTCATAGAATATAAATGTGCAGATTAACAAAACACACCAACACCCAGGCCAACAAGTAGACCATTCTCAGCACAATCCAATAGAAATACAAGAACCACAGTATAATTTAATCTATTCTAGCAGTGTCATTTAAAAAGAAATAAGTAAAATTAATTTTAATACAGGTTTTATTTATCTCAGTATATCCAAAAATATTGATTCAACATGTTCATATTAATATCACAATATTTATAAATATCAATTCAACATAAATAGTGATATATTTTACCCTTTTTTTTCATATTAAGTCTTTGAAATCTGGTGTCTGTTTTACACTTTCAGCAGATCTCAAATCACACTAAGTCACATTGCAAGTTCTCAGTAGCCACATGCGGTAGTGACTACCTTATTGGACAGCACAACTCTAGAGTATTCTAGGTATGAGAACAGCACTATTTATTTGTCCATTCCACTGTTAATGGACCTGGTTTTGAATAGAGCTGCTGTGAGCATTCTTTTACAAGTCTCTTGGTGCTGTAAGATATTTTTAACATGGTTTTTATGTCAAGAAAATTCTCATAGCCATATTTCTTCTAGTTCTCCCCATATCAGGCTCAGCTTTATTAAAGTAGCTATCTTAAGGGGTGTAAAGTATTTTACTTGGTAGAGTCCGCCAATGTTGAATAACAGGATTGTAAACAACTCTGCCACAGAAGTACCTTGGACCCACCCAAAGCACATGCATTCAAGGACTTTTGCAAGTAGGCTTTTGTTCTGTCCTATCATCTGTTTCAGTCTCGTTGCCTTGTGAAAATTCAGGCCAACTAACAATCATTTCAGGGAATTCTCATGAACCCTTTTGTGGCTTCTTACTAAATTGTTCAGTGGAGGCAGAAGAATAGGATATACCATTTCTTCAAACTTCTGTGCATTCTCTTTTTTTTCCTTCTATTTCTTAATTCAGTAGGGTCACTCTGTTCTGAGTTTTAGTTTAACCAGAAGTCCATATCAACAGTCAGCTGTTTGTTCTGTTTGTCTTCCTTGTTTTAAAGGATAGCAGCTCCCAAAGTGTCCTTTCTTAAAGCTTTTAAAATCCATTCCTATGTTGAAATAATGAGACTAATGAAACAGTGTAAACTAAAGTTGGGTGCAGAAGTATTCACATAACATGTTTCTTTCAGAGTGTCTAAAATTGGAAGAAAAATATATCTAAGGAAATATCAAGGGCAGAATGCAGGTTAGCTTTGGACTCAATGTAATTTTCATATAACTTGTATGAGAACAGCTTCACAAGAGCAGTGAACTTGAGCAGTTTCTCCCACCAGCTTTCTCTTCACTTAATTTATCATCAGATTTGCTCCCAGCCCGGAAATGGGCCAATTACATGAGCTGCCTTCCTTCCTGACTTCCATCCTAGTGACAAGTGGTAAAAAAGAAGAGAGGTAGAAAGCAGGCCATGACCTTAAATGATGAAATGGGAAATCTGTTCCCTCGAGGGTCTTATTTTAACTGTTAGATTAATGACTTAGTAGGGGGGGATTAAAAATGTTTTTTGGTTATTTGACTACATGGTCCCACCTGTCTCCAAACAGCTGTACATAAAGCATTCTTTAACCTGTTTTTAAAAGCAGTACTTTTTTATATGGTTTTGTGGGTGCATTTTTTCTTTAAGAAATATGTCTTAAGTAAGAATACTGGGAAGAGTTGCCTGGCCGGGCATGGCTCAGCAATTGAGCATCAACCTAGGATCCAGGAGATGGAGGTTCAGTTCCCGGTCAGGGCACATGCTCAGGTTTCGGGCTCAGTCCACAGTTGGGGGCGTGCAGGAGGCAGCCAATCAATGACTCTCTCATTGATGTTTCTCTCTCTTTCTCCCTCTCTCTTCCTCTCTGAAATCAATAAAGATATATTTAAAAAGAACACTGGGAAGAGTTAATTTTTCTCTAAGGAAAAGATCACTTTTACTTTGCTAGATAAATATAATTAGGATAGGATTTAGATTTGATTGTTTTAGTAGGTATCTTAAAGACAGTGAGGTTTAGCTTATCCAAAATTATTATTATTATTATTTTTTAGAAAAAGTCTTAATAGAAATAGAGGTAAATACGGTGTTGGTTGTAGGTCTTTCCTTTTCCTAGTTAACTTTATCCTGATGCTTCTTAAAATTCTATTAGTTGGTTTTCATTATTTTGACTATTTTTTAAAGAATTTTGTCTTGAAGAATTAATAGCTTCTTCAAGCCTATTTCAGGCACATTGTTCCTCACATTTTCCTTGTAAACTAGACATTGGGAATTTGTAATTGCAGTAGTTTGTAGATGAAAAACCAAGGAGAATTGGTTAGTGACTTATCCAAAGTCACAGATTCAACAAAGGCAGTTGGAGTGTAGATTTAGATACTGTAATAGTCCAGTACTTGTCAGTAGGCTTTTGTACATTTCATTGTGTTTCTATAAAATTTTCCATGTAACTTCGATTAGATTACAAAATTAAACACTGTATGCTAAATAATGGCTGTAAGGTAGTTAATGGCCCTCCAGAGAGATTGCTAGTTACAGTTTTGTGTTTTCTTAAGTATATATTTTTTATTTTGTTTCTTTCCATCACCATTTATCACCCCTATACCCTTCTCCACCTCCACCCATACCCACCCCCATCCAGGTCACTACACTGTTTTCCTTGTCTATGAGTTCTTTATCCTTTTTTCTTTTTTGCTCAATCACTCCATCCACCCCACCTCAGCCCCTACTCCCGGCCACTCCCACTCCCACCCCCAGCTGTCAGCCTGCTCTCTTATCTCTGAGTCTGTCTCTGTTTGCTTGTTAGTTCAGTTTATTAGATTTCACATATGAGTGCAATCACATGGTACTTGTCTTCCTCTGACTGGCTTATTTCACTTGGCAGAATGCTCTCCAGGTCCCTCCATACTGTCCCAGAGGGTAACATTTTCTTCTTTTTTTTTTTTTTTTTTTTACAACTAAGTAGTATCTTAATGTGTACCACAGCTGATTTATCCACTCATCTAGTGATGACGCGTGGGCTGCTTCCAAAGCTTGGCAATTTTGCATTTTTTTAAAGCAAAATTGTTTGCGTTTGGTTTTGTATTCTAATAAAACTTTCTAGCTCCCATACTCTTAAAAAAGAGGCTGGTGTCTTTGCTAAGTACTTATTTAGAAATGTACTGATTTCTAAGTGCTAACCCACTTTTTTAGTTACTTCAACTCAACCTTTTCTGGTCCTTTATGCTTCCTATTAAAGAAGATAAATTATAGATTGGTAAATTGTAGTATAAGGACAGAACATTGAACTTGAAATCTGGAGGCCCAGAAGTTTAGTATTGTCTTCGCTATGTGACTTTGGGTGAGACTAATTTTTTCTCATATTTAGAATGCTCATTATTTTCTCTAATGGTGTTGTAAGAATTTTAATGATATAACATATGCATGCATGTATAATAAAAATAAGATAACTGAGTTTACCTCCTGTTGGGATTTCTATAAGTACTCATAGTCAAGAAGAGAGAAGAAACCAATTGGGGGATGGATGATATTAGAATTGAAAGTCATCTTGCTTTTCTCTGACTTTGTGGCACATATTTCCTCTTCTTATACTTTCTCTCTTGTGCTCTTCTTTTAGTGACCTCTTTATGGGCTAGACTGTACTGGGCAGACTACAACAAAGTGGGACAGACTGAGGGGAAGCTGTGACATTGGAACAGTGGGAAAGGGGGTTGATTTCAGTGGCCCTTTTACTCCCAGAGCCGACCAATCCTAAAAGTAGGCTAGACTCATCCCTCACTTGCTGCCATGTGCCCAGAGATACCATCTCAGTCAGCCAGATGTAGAAGGGATGTATTTCCATGCCCATGAGATTGATACATGACATCTAAGATCTCTTCCACTTCTGATCCTGTGACTCTTTGGTGGTGATATTTCTGCAGAAATCCAGGAGGCACCTAGGATCCATACTGCAAAGGTGTACCTCTTGTTCTTCTACCCAGGTGTGCTTGTATATTTTTCTTAGATCAGACATTTCAATTTGTTTGAGCATAGTTCTTATTAAACCAACA